GGGCATGCAGTCCACTGGGTAAAACGCTGGCTGGATGGTAGCACCCAAAGAGTTGAGGCCAATGGAGTTAAATCCACTTGGCAGCTGGTCACAAGTGCTGTATCCCAGTGCTCAGTACTGGGGCTGCTTCTATCTAACATCTTTATTAATGGCTTTGATTAGGGGATTGAGTGTATGCTCAGTAAGCTTGCAGATGACACCAAGTTGGGAGGGAGATCTGGACAGACTGGATCAATGGGCCAAGGCCAACTGCATGAGTTTCAATAGGGCCAAGTATCAAGTCCTGCATTTTGGGCAAAACAACCCCAGGCAGCCCTACAGGCTTGGGGAGGAGTGGCTGGAAAACTGCCTGACAGAAAGGGACCTTGGTGTACTGATGGACAGACAGCTGAATATGAGCCAGCAGTGTGCCCAGGTGGCCAAGAAGGCCAGTAGCATCCTGGCTTGTATCAGGAATGGAGTGGTGAGCAGGACTAGGGAAGTAATCCTGCCCCTGTACTCGACACTGGTGAGGCCTCATCTCTAGTACTGTGTTCAGTTTTGGGCACCTCAGTACAGAAAGGACTTGGAGGTGCCCAAGCAATTCCAAAGAAGGGCAAGAAGGCTTGTGAAGGGCTTGGAGAATATGCCCTTCGAGAAGCAACAGAAGGAACTGGAGCTGTTTAGTCTGGGGAACCAGAGGCTGAGGGGAGACAGTACTGCGCTCTTCCAATATCTGACATGTGCTTACAGTGAGAGTGGGGTTGGTTTCTTCTCACAGGTGACAGGACGAGGGGAAATGGCCTCAAGCTGCACCAGGGTAAGTTGAGGTTGGATATTAGGAAACACTTCTTTACAGAAAGGACTGTTTTGCACTAGAATAGGTTCCCCAGGAAGGCTTTAGAATCACTCTCCCTGAATGTGTTTAAAAACCGTTTGGATGTGGTGCTCAGGGCCATGATTCAGTGGAGGGTTGTTAGAATTAGGGTAGTTTGATTAGGTTGTGGTTAGACTCATTGACCTTAAAGGTCTTTTCCAAACTGACCAATTCTATGATTCTATGACCTGACTGGATTTACTTGGAATGAGAGAGAAAACATTGTGCAGGACATCTCTCCCACCTACACCTCCAGCCCTTTCTACAACAGTATAACTTATTTAATAGAAAGAAGCCACTCATTAATTTAACATATTCACCAAGCCTATTACTGATGAGAAGCTATGACATATATTCGTCACTGGCAGAAAAGTTGTCTAGGCTCTTCCACTGATAACACTCATCTGCAGATATTTGCTTTACTAAAGTACATTCAGTCTTGAGCAGTCTTGTCTTAATTTTCCCTGTATCTTCTAGCCAGAGTTTCACAACTTCTGAAAGCTCTACAGTGCAAGTACACCATTCTAGTAACATGCAAAGCCCTGAAAGCTGCTCTTCCTTAAACTATTAATAACGATGCATTTAGGAGGAGTTCATGGAGAGAAAAAAAGTAACAGGTGGCAAAGATAATATTACACTGGAAAAGAGCAGAGCAGCAGCAGCCCATGTGTTGGAAGGTTAATGTTTCATATTCATTGTCATGTGCTAGAACGTACTTGGAACATGAAGAAATGTCATGGAGATGTCATACACAACTTGCCAATCCAAGTCCAAGAGTTAGTTCATTTTATCAGGCTCCCAAAGCCAAAAATCAAGGCAGAATTACAAACATTATTTATGTTTCAAATTAGTCAACTTTTAGCTGTTAGCTGTTGTATAAGTAATTTACTGCACCACTGAATAAATGCACTCTTTCTCAGCCACACTATCTTCTATGTAATGTTAAAAAAAAGAAAAAACAACAACAACAACATCTGGTGTTTGGAGTTGAAATTCCAAAGCACAATAGATTATCTGGAATATTCACTGCTTAGTACAGTACTAGCAGTTTCCAAACTCAGGTTCTTCAAGCCTAAAACTATATAAATATATAAACAACTTATTCAATGTCTTTAAGCTTTTTTTTTTTTTTAACGTCTTTGCCACATGCAAACACCAGTTCAGAACCTCTGAAAAATTATATATTCGTGTCTCAAAGAAACCTTCAAGCATTTACCTACCCACACAAGAAGATTATCAGCAGTTTGCTTTTGAATAATGGTTTCACCTTAAACAACGCTACAAATTCAATAGTATAGAAATTATTTTATCCAACAGTGTACTTGGTACAGTTGCACTTGGACAGTGTACTTGGTACAGTTGTCCAGAGGGATCAAGTAATAAAATAGTAAAACAACCTAGGCATATATAGAGATGTAAAAATGCAGGGAGATACAATAATTTCAGCTGAAATTCAGTTTTCTTCTGAAAAACTTTTTAAAACAACATTACTTGATCTGGTTATGAAGTGTTTATTTTGGCCTGGGATGGATTGTCACAACTCTTACCCAGAATCTGTAGAATATTTGGTCAAGTCTACTTAAGTCTGTTTTTGGAAATACCAATATAATGTATTGTAGAATTTCCAGATTTTGCTGCTTTATGTTATCTGGTCTCTCCTGTTGAGTGGAGTTTGACTACACAGATCTATTGCATCAAATTCAGGATTTCTAAGACAAATGTAGCATGTTGAATTACAGGCATGGCTCACAAACTTATATATAAGACTGCACTACCACAACATTTGAAGCATGTTGAATTATAAATCTTCCAAAAAAAAAAAAAAAAAAAAAAGTGCTGGAGTTCTCCTGAAGAAATGGAAATTGCCACAGATTTTCAGAAGTAAACTGTATTTATTTATTTAAACTAGTTCTGTTACGCTGACCTGACCTGGAGATCCTAGCTGAAATCTTACAAGAGGAATAATGTAGAGTACACCTATGTGTACTTCGTACACAATACGAATCATATTAGTGCTTCAACTTTCTCCTCCAGAACAAGACAGCAGAAGTCAGGCTTTCAACTCCTATTGCCTACACTGAGAAACAAATAAAAGACTGAATGATTTATTTCATACAAGTCTTAGTGGCTTCCACTCAATCAGTGACTTCACCTGTCAACTTATCTCACTTGTAATAAACAGTTGTCAATATTTCCATCAACAAAACTGGATGTAAACTCCAAGCAGGAATTCAACAATTAAAGAGCATCCAAAAAAAAAAGAAAAAAGGGTAAGTCAGAATATTAAACCATGCCCCAGAACATCATTTTCTGAAGTGAACCCCAAGGCATCGTGCATAGTATCACTGGCTCTGGAGTAAAGATTTTTCAAGTCCTGTGGCACATCTTATGAAAATCAAATTTCAGTGAGTTGACACTCTTTGAAAACCAGATAACTTATGTGGGCCTAGTGACAGCAACTTCAGTGACATTCCACCATGTAAATCTTCACAAGCCTAACTTAGGTTGGTATGACATGGTACATAGGCCACATTTACCTTTCTCTTATGATACAGACAAAGTCCCCAAAGACAAACCCACAAGCACAGAAACAGCATGCTGTCAGTTTAGATAAATAAAATCACAGTTGCACTAAACCACAAATTCACTATGATTTTTCTTTCCTTGAGGAACTCAAAGTGTTACAATCTTTCTGGTTAACACCTCCCTCTTAAACTTCCTGGTTTTGTTCCTGAAACTTCTAAAGCTCTTCAGTGTGATTCCACAAAGGAGACAGTATACTTCACCTTGGCATGAACATTTGTTTAGGACCTCTATAGAACAAAGCAACTGTGTGTTGCAAATCCTACTTTTCCAAGGACTTTTTCCTCAAAAGCCACCCCCTTTCTTTTTTCCCCTTCTTTTGTCAAATCAGACTTCAGTTTCCTTTCTCAAACAGTTCTTAGAGCAATTACTACACAAAGTAGTTTGTCAAAGGAGAACGCTCCCAGCAAGGTGCTGCTCTCTGTAATATCTTCCATTCATACGCAATCAGGGCTGGTCTTTCAATTTTTGTTTCAATTTTCTCAAGCAGGTTTAGTAGTACTCTGACAGAGACTAATTCTTTTAGGGATCAGGTTTAGTAGTACGCAATATGGGGGTAGTAAAATTATGTCTGCAAGAACTGCTGATAACTAATCCTCTAAGCATCAGACATTGAAGAGAAGACTTCTAGCCAGCATTCTCCAACTCAGTTCTGGAAAGGTTAGGCTTGAGACAGCTGGGAAGCCACAATTCAAGGCACATAAATTAATTCTTCTTCCTTCTGAAGACATTAGTTAAGAGTATTTCTAATGTCAGTTTGCACAGAGTACAAGATATGGAAGCTCATTTTTCATCATCTCACTCCTGACCTGAGGTTGAAGTGTAAGCTGTAACTCAAGGTGAAAATCTCCAAATGCCATTACACATGCCTCCAGCCATCTATCTTGCATCTGCATCGAGCTCTTATTTTTAACCATGTAATACATTGTTTGTATGCTGAAGTACAACGGCACAGTTTTTGCAAATTTAAGTTAATTCATGAAAATCCTATCCAGGCTAAATTAAGAAAGTTTTTCCGAACTGATTTCTGCCAACATATCAGAAGTAAATTCAATAAAATATCAGCAACATAATACAATTTCATAGTATATCTCTTATCTTTTGTCTATCACTGTACCTGCAGTCAATGCATATCTGTTCATCATTGGCACTCACTTAGCACAAAATACAGCTAGTGAGATAGAGACAGAAAAACGTTGCCATTGCCTTCAACTGAGAATTACTCAGCAATGAACACAAGCGCACAAAGAAGAGTTTTCTGTGAATTCTTCTTATGTGTATAAATAAATAATTCAAAGTGTACCAGTCACGATTACCAAACTTACTCCCCAGACCAAGTCAAAAAGAACTGTACAGATGACATCATGAAAAATATGTCCAGTGTAGAATTAGGACTTTGTACAATTAGGGAAAGAACCCAGAGAGAGCTGTGACTATCTTCTGCTCAGTGAGAATTTTTTTGAGAGGTCTTCTAGCCATCATCTAACAGACAGTGAGGCCACCGCTTTTAAAGTAAGAACTTCATAGCAAATGGATACCTCACAAAGAGTTCTTCCCTTACCCAGAATTTGACAAGGAAGAAGGCATTTGCTGGGCCCCTTTCAAACAGCTCCTTCAGGCCTCCTTTTTTCTCAGGGAACTTGTCATAGATCTGTCGGATATCCACTGCCTCAAGGTAGGGATCACTGTAGCTGGGATTTGACTGCCCAATGTGCACAAACAGGTGTTTGTTATACTGCAAGAACATGAAAAACAAGGGATTAGGGAATTTTTCAGTATATTCTGAACATACAACTTTTCATGAGAGAAAAGCTGATGTTTTAGCGAACTGGGTGAGTCCATCCTATCAAAGAAATCCAAAAAGCTCATAAGACCACTTCAAAAGATCTTCAAGCCCAGAAAGCATGCACCTCTTTTACCAGTTGATGCAGAGAGCATTAACAGTGCACGGAGGGCTGGTTTCTGACGATGGTATGAATGATTATATGGAAAGGTCACTGTGACAGTAGGTGCTCTGTCACCTTAACTCAGAAGGAAACAGCCAAAAAAGCTTGACTACAGGAATTTTCTTAGAATTTGATTAGCACTTTCTAATTTAGTAGAAATATTAGCTGAAAGATCTCTGGTAATATGAGCTCATGTTGTTTTTAATTTCTTAAGAATACATCCAGCTTCTTGTTTCTTCTGAAGTAATTCTATATTTTTTTCCCCTTAAATTCACTTCTAAATCATTGCCTTGTATAGCTGCTGCTAAACAGTCTGGAATTACCTGAAATGCAGAATGTCACCTGTCACAAGCCAATAAACATCAAAGCTCCTTATCCTGAGATGAGCTGCCTGAATTACCACAGCAAGGTGCCACTCAAATGCAACTGTCTTTTTTGCACTGCAGTTTTCCTGTCTTAGAGAAAGGAAGTATAACTGGCTCATCACCAGTGTATTTCTCAAGATGAAGTATCACACGGCTTTGGTGAGACAGGCAAGTCTTATTACTCCTATTTCATATATGTTATACAGAAACACACAGATGCAAATTTGTCCCAGTTGACCCCAAATGTAAGTTCTCAGCACACAAGAGAGATTATGCGGGTCCACATGATCTAACCATCACTTGATTCTGGATCTGTCCTCAGGACAGCTAGATAGCTAGAATAGTCCTATAGAGGCTGTACTACTGTCTTATGACCCTGGAAAGGGAGGCCAGAAGGACATGGCATATAACTGGCTATACTGTGGTAAGCAATTCTGTCCTTTAAGAAAAGGATCTGTTTTAACTGGGTTCTTTGTTTTCCAAAGGTGGCTTCCTATTCTCAGTAGAGAAAAGAAGCAAATATTTTCATACACATATAGCCCACATTCACAGTGCGTAGGAGCTACCTGAATACCAAAGATATATGAGGAGTGGAAGTTAAAAATGTATCTTACCGTGTCTTGATCTTGCTGCTGTTCCAAGAATGCAGAGAACTCTAACATCCAAAGTTTGGAGCTAGCAACTCTTCGTCCTTGCCAAGCTGGTGCTGATGATGAAGGTGGGAGGCCAGTGGGAGAGTCAAACCCTAATTGTACAAGATTTATATACCAAAATTTAGAAACAGGTAAGTTGTAATAGCTCTTCAATAAAGATCCTGTTGTCAAATCTGACTTATAACATTTTCTTCTAACTTCGCTCATCATGCAAAATACCATTCATATGTTTCGCTCTCTACCTGTGCTGTAAATGGCTTCTCAGTCACATTCTGCTAAGCCAGCAATTGTTGAAGTTGTACCAGCTGATGTAGAAGATAATCTACCTAGTTTTGACTTCACAGAAAACATGTGACTTTAGGAAGACCTGGATATGCCCTAAATGAGCAGTGAAATAAGCTGGCTTAGTATCAGAGAATGAAGTATCACCATCAGCATGATTAATTAATTTCTCAAAGTGGTGAAACTGAGAAGAAAATACATTTATTATTCCACTTAACAAGGAATTGGAAAGGCAATTGTTATGATGGAATACAATGTTCTAATGCAGGTGGAAGAACAGCAGACAGATATAAACTTGTTTTCATTCTGAATCAGGAGGGGAAAAAAAAACAAAAACAAACAACAAAAATCAGGACTAAATGTTGCATTTGAAAAAAAAAAAAAAAAACCAACTCTTTGAGCGCTCGATATAAGGATGTAAACTAAAAATAATTATTAAAAATAAGGAGAAACTATATGAAATTCATTTTGTATCCACTGAAATGTTTCAGTAGGCAAAAATCCTTTTAAAAGTAACTTATTTTTTTAATGAGTGTTAGCTATTTTTGAAGCTAACACATAATTTGAAAGAAGTAACTATTTCTTACCTGGTAACGGCAGCGAAGGCTGTAGAACATAGGGTTGTTGAGAAAAAGGTTTCACACTATAGAGTATGCAAAGATAGTTGACAGAGAGAAGGAAAGAGGAGAAGGAAAATACATTTGGTCAACTGTTTGTACAGATTAGGTGACTTCAACAAACACTTTTCATTTCTCCCAGAACAGTTTCCAGTATTTTATGAACCACTTTTCCCCACAAGACAGCTTATTAGTTTCTGTTCCCTGACCTGCCTTACGAACATCAGCAATAGGACAAGAAGAGAGCAAGAACACATATCTGGAGTGAAAAGCATAATCATTCCAGCCACTTGTCATTAAGTTGTCTTAAATTTCCTCACAGAACATGTCCTGCTAGGTTATGTGATAAAAAGTTTGTCTCCACGCACTTGAGATAGCACGGTGGAACAAGAGAAGGCAGAGTGATCTGAATAATATTCTGACATAGCTACATCCAGGGCCATTACCAGAGAATCATCAGCCAAACTCTTGTCTCTGCACTGCAAAGGGGGAACCCTAATAATAGAGTCATAGAAATAAAATCCCTAATTTTATCAATCCATGCTGTCAGGGAGTCACCATCCTCATTAGCTAGGTAGGAATCCAACAAGTCAGTTGGGGTTTACAAATCAACTACCTTACAAACTGAAGGAACTAATGTCTAGATAGCATGGGACACACTGAGATAAAATGAAAGAGCATTTGGGAATTGCAAAAGATTTATTTCGGAGACATTTAGGGCAAGTACGGAATAAAAGATACATGTTGCATATTACTACATTTGTCTGGACATGTCCTGCACATTACCATTACAGTCTGCACTGTCTTCACATTAAATTCTATTTCTAATTAATTTCCTGGATAAGGGTCTCTCTGTATTCTGTAGTGCCTGTGGAAGTCTAAGTGCCATTCATAGGACCACCTTATGGGTTACAGGGGCCATGCTTCTGTAGCGTCAGAAACTATAGCAATTCAGAGTGTGCTCACTACTGAATATCAAGCTAGACTAGCCAGCAAATAGATGACTTTGGAGCCAACTGTGTGTCTTCAGGGGCAAAGAGGAGGCTTGAAACTTGAGGAGGCTAATTTGAGTTTGACAAAGAGGTCAAGACCATGTGATGTAGAGACTGTGAAATCTGAAGTGTGACTGAAAGCCAGGTTTGTATGTGTTTATCTCTGCAGGTGGCAAACTGGGGAAGGGTGAAGAGCCAGGACCATCTACTGGGTGGACTATATATCTTAGTTATGTATCTCAGTTAGCAAAGATATTCCCTGTGTTCACATGCATGCGCATTTTTCTGTGCATGAGTGAGGGATCTATGCCAGCAAATAGAGTGGAACTGCAGCCTCTAGTGTTCAGATGCTGATATGTCAGCAAAGGGGGAGATAATGGATCTAGGATAGCTACTGGACAGAGTGCACAAACCCAGGTAATGGATGGATACACAATGCATTTATATCCTCTTAACACACCTTCACCAACATCATCCAGAGAGGGATACAGAATGAGGCTGTTGGTGCTGTTTATATTTATGAGTGCTAAGTTTGCATTTTTTGTGGGGGCCATTGTATATCTGCATGTATGTACTTATCTGTTTGTATCTGTTTCCACCAGGAATGCATGCTCAACCTCACTTGCCCACTGGGAATACATGCTCAGCCTCCTGTGCTGGTTGAAATTGGGAACATGAAGATGCAGCTGCCTTGTCTCAGGCTGCTAGATTCAGCAACTCATTAAAATAACCCACATTAGGCTGAGTTGTGGGGCATGTTAAAGGGATACAATCCATACTAAAGATACCATGTGAAGACAGGGGATTTTATTTGTTTAAGAATGTCTTGTGACTCTAAGTTTATCTTCAGCCTTAGGTCTCAGGTCCACAGTCAGGGAATCTGTCTAAGAACAAGGATTACATTCACATTTCAAAAATCTTGAAATAGCTAATGTCATTCCTCAAGGAACATGTAGGAAGCACCCGTTCAGACAAAGGAATACTCACTCTTGCAAAGATCCAGCTTGGCTTGGCAAAGCTCCTTGCCAAAACTGCAAGAGAACAACACACAGGCAAAGGTGATTACTCTTAATATTGAGGAAAAAAAGCCAGACTTGCCCCTGTCTGAAAAAAGAAACTGCAAGCTCAGACTTAAAGATATGATTTAGCTGCAGCTCCTCTTTCTGCTTTCCTGATTTAATCCTTGGAGGGTATTTTCCACACAGTAATAGTAGTAAAAGCAAATGACCAAATAGTATTTTTAAATGCAAAATCGCATGTATGCATTCTTGCACCTCTGTCTCCAAAGCTTAAAAAAAATGCTCCCCCTCTTCAATGGGCCACTTTTTTCCAGAACTCCACAGAAGTATTTTGGAAGAAATCAGTGCTGAGAAAATCTCGCTAATCTCAACATGAAGGACAGGGAATGGTGACAGGCCGTATGTGCTAAAAGTTTTGTGTAAGAGCCATCAATTTGTGATCTAAGCACACAGGATAAGCATGGGGATTATGAGTTTGACAAAGGGTCAGGATGGTCCAAACTGCTTCTTGGACTGAAAAAAGGACACAGACACCTTAAAATATTTCAGGCAGCTGAAAATCCAAAGGATATGATTGTTCTCTCACTTGTGTCATTTTTAGAAAAGCATATAATAAAACTCCACTGTTTTATATCAATGTGAGCAAAGAATCAGACACAGTGTTGAAGACATATTAAACATTTGCTATACAAAGAAAACACCTTTTGGCAGCTCTTAACACTCTTCCAAAGATTCAAGTGTCATCAGCCCAATTCTAACCCATGGGTTCACTCACCCCTGAAATAGCAGGATAGGCTGGTCGTGGGAGACCTGGCAAGGCCGTTTTACTATGGAAGGGAGTTGCAGAGATAATCTGGGCAGATGACATTGTAGCCATACTCTGCATGGCTTTATCTTTAGCTGTCTGATCCTATGGGTAAGAGTAGAAAGAGAAAAGACAGAACAATTATAATAATAAATATGTTGCCTGATCTAGTGGTTTCTCACCAACTCCTTCATAGGGAACAAGCATCTGAAAACCTGAGCAGCAGACTCACCAATTAATATTTTAAGAATTCTTCAAAGTTTAGGACTTTGAACCATTACTATACCTTCAGATGAGGCTAATCTTACTTCCTGAAATGCTGGGATCATTGGTTTAGAGACTGCTAAGTGTTTCTCCTTTCTGTCTGAAGGTTCTTAAACTCCACAGCTGAAGTGTTTTCCCATGGAAATTAGGACTCTACTTCACTCCTGTGTTTTAATTACTGGTAAAGATAGTTAATGGAAAGACCCTTGATTCTCAAAATTCTAAAAAGCTCATTGTCAACACAAACAGCTGATCACCATCGTAAAAAGACTATCTCAGATCAGGAATGTTATTCTCAGGTAGAATTGATCACCCCTAGCAACTATGATTCTTGGGGAAACAAGAAATCCTATGGCAAGAACATATGCAAGAACATTGTTTTGTATTTTAGCAAGATTGTGAGTTGCAGCAAAGAAGAGAGCTAATGTATGTTGGGGAAAAAAAAAAAAAGAGCATTCTTTGTTTCTTCCGCAAAGAAGTCAAAGAAATAAATGGACACCGTAAGTACTTCCACATACTCTTCCTTTTGTACTACAGTCCCATACAAGTAATCTCTATCCCTTAGACACTGTTTTTATCTGTGACATCGTAATTATAATGGCAATGTCAGAGGTGAGTTCATGGCTTGGAGAAGCTGCTGAAAGAAGTTCTCATTCTCTTCAGGAATTCTCAAAGACACAAGCTCATTTATTTTAATAACTGCATTAAGTTCTCACTCTTGGGTCTCCACTCTCTCTATCCCCTAAGGTTTTCTGAAGGTCAAATCACAGGGATATTGATGGATATAATACAAAAACATTTTGAGGCAGCAAAACAAAAGCTCAAGAATAACAACTTTAAAATGAAATTACACATAGGAATGAGCATAACTTAGGTGTTTTTTGTTTGTTTTTTTTTTACAGTGCCTGTGACTTCTGTACCATTCAAGTGCATGGAAGAGAAGCATTTTAATAACTGACAATTTCTAAGTTTCTCTAAAGCTAAGAGAATTTTTTTCAGACTACAGTATAAATGATACTCCAGAGATTACCTGCAACATTTTAAGGCTACATTTAGCTCTCCTTACCTTTTCACTGGAAAAGTCATTTGTCTACCTGTGTTTTTGGGGGAAGGAGAACTGAAATTACTTGCAGATTTTTTAAAGAAAATTTAATTATAATAAGGCAATTAAGAGGGGAAAAGTTTTTATCTATCAAAGTCTTGTTTCATTTTTCTGCTTTGTTTAAATGCCAGACAGAATGTTGGAAAACAGCATGGTTTTGCTAGAGACATCTCTATTCTTTTCCAACTAACAATTCTATATTCATTTGTATCTGTATTTCCAGTACAAAAGGAGAAAAAAAAAATTTTTAACCAAACACTTGCAGTTTTTGTCTTTTGTTTTATTCCTCTCAAAATGCATTGGAATAAATAATAATAAAAACATGAATTTCTCTCTTCTTCTTTAGTATAGTATCTATTAGCTATCCAGGACATAGAAAACTAACTGACATCTGAGAACAGGATTTTCTTTGATCTTCTACCCTACTTCCCCACATCTATCTACAATAGATACAGTGCATATTTAAAGAAGAGACCTCAATTTGTGGGGGAGAAATTATTATTAGACTAATTGCTTTGAAAAATCAGTATGTAGCTGCACAGATCTCTAGTATGTAAATATTAAAAAAGTATACTCAGAATGAGAAATGAATAGCGATGGAAGAACACTCAGCTATCAGCTAAATATGGAAGAAGGGTAGTAGCTTTTGTGATTCCTTTTCCTTGTTTTACAAAAATGACTAGGGAAAGTAGTAAATGAGTTGAAGTAGTGCTACGGACTTGCCTCTGCAGGCCAAAAGAAACGCTCTGGTACTGGTGAACAGTTCACTGCATGCAGCTAGGAGAGCTCTCAGCATGACTAGAGGTAGTGTAAAAGGAGAATAAGCAATGGCTCCATGCTGCTCCCTGAGACACCTTCATTCCCTGAGAATAAAGACTGCCAGCTCTTAAATGCTAAGTGCAAACAGGTTCATCTGACTGGCTTTTCAATCATACAAAATCCCAGAGCTGTGACATACAAATGGTGGAATCAAGGTTATAGATACAATCAGCAGTAAATCTTATAACAACCTGGGCTGTTGTTTCCTGCTCACTTTAACTTGCCTCTCTACTTAACAGTACCACAGACTTAAAACTTAGGCAGTGCTACCTAGAAGCACAGAATTAATTGTAATTTGTGGCTCCCTCTCTTCACCAGAACCTGGAAACACAATAGGCAAATTATAGACACAACAGTGGTTTATAAAGTGGACCTAGAACTGGTGGTGGAAGGAGGGTAGTGCTCATTTATGACAGTTAGAAGTAATCAGTGCTCATGCATCCACTCCAGCACTAAGCGCCAGCGTCACTCACAGTCTACACCTTGTGTAGCCCAGCAAAAAGCTGTCCAGACAGTGCAGAGGAATCACATACTAACAACTGTTTACTTGATAGTCATGACTATAAGGAATGTTATTCTCAGGTAGAATTGATCATCCCAGTCTCATGACTGGACTGAGATATCAACAACCTCATTGTCACCTGAAGTATGGAAAACCAGGGAAGCAAGTGTGCTTCTCTTCAGATCTCTTACTGCCACATCAAATCAGGAAGGCCAGCATGAATCTTCCTTCCTTGGCTGTCTCAATGATTTATAACAAGGACTATAGAAAGGAAAACACAGATTTTACTTACGCAGATAGACAGAAGTCAACCATTTTCCTTCTATTAAGAAGGAAGATAAGCCCAGGACTCTTCAAATCAGGTCTGAATTAATCACAGTGCAAAATCTGTTCAGCTAGTACCACTTTACTTGAGAAGAAGACAGGTGGCTTTGCAATTTCCTTCCAGTAGTTAGTATAACTCAGATTCTTTCTCAGGCACAACTACTAGTAGAACTAGCACACCAGTACCTGTAAAGTTACCCCTGCCAAGGCACAGAAAACACTGGGAATGATTACGGGTCAACATTTGTAAGCATAAGCTCCACCTTCTCAGTTGAAGAAATGTTTCAAAGCCCAAGAGATGCTCAAACCTGGTAGACAGCAGTATAAAGTGGAGGTAGAAATCTGACACATTAAAACAAAACTTATTATTTCTTTATTCCTTAAATAGAATTGCCTTAGACATCACAGAGCTCCAACAATACAAATGTTTGGACAGCACTTCCTAGGAAGTAGCTTTACCTTCCTGGTCTTGCACAGTTCAGTGGTGTACAATCAATGAATATACAGGTGTTACAATTATGAAATAAACAGGAGAGTTTGGCTAGGCAGGTTACTACACCAAAAAGAATAGATAGAGGACTTACCCTTGTCCTGAACTCTCTGGAAAACTCAAAAGGAGGGATCTCTAAAAAGAGAACCTTCCCTTTGGGTAGTCAGCTCTTACATGGAGTCTTAATGGTGGAGCCAAGCTCCACCCCTTTTGGCAGCACAGGTGAATTGCCTTCACCTGTGCTCCTGTGGCTGACTCATTGCTTGCCTCAGGTGATCAATCAGAGGTTCAGGCTATGACTCAGCAGCTCCCATACAAGCAGCTAATCTCACCCTTTTTTTTTTTTCAGCTCTTCTAAGATAGAGAGGATGAAAGAACGAAGACTCAAGGAATGCATGATATGATAAAGGATACCCATTGTACCTTGAGCTTGGCTTGAATCTCTCTGGCTTTCCGCCTTGCCAGGACCTGAATGTGACTAGATACCTGCATTGAAAGACAAAATTAATGTTCAATCCTGACAAGTATTTGGTAGCTGTTTGCAGAAGTAAAGTTTACTTTAGACACCTTGTGCAATAGGGAGTTATTTAGGTTGATGGATGGAGAGGAGTTGTGGCAGTAATGAGATGCTTTTCTAAAAGTAACTGTGATTAAGTGAAGTGAAGGATCAACAGAGACAAGCCAATGAAGGCTTTTTACCATTCAAATGGCTTTATAAAGCCAGAGATCTTCTATGAAACTGAAGAACACATCCATGAACCTGAGGACTGAGAGTTTTTTACCTCTTTCCATCTTGGCATACCCTTGGGAAAATGTTATATGACCTTGGCCACTATATATTGATTCTTAGAACTTCAGAATCCGAGCTGAAATACATCATAGAAAAAATTAGGTTGGAAGGAATCCAGTCCTTTCAGTCCTCTACTCTAAGTACATCCAGGTTTGTGAGGGCTTTGTCCAGAATAGGCTGTACTGTCATTCCCAAATCACAGAAACGTATTTTTCATCCCATCTGCCATATGTTTTCAAAATCACCATTGCCGCCTGTCTGAACAAAACCCTGCTGTTTATGTTAGCTAAGATGTTCATTAGTAAACAAAACAAATAAAAGCCCACACTGTTTAACAGCAGAAAAATTGTGTCATTAGGTGGATGAGAAGCACTGTAGTCATAAAATTCTTCTGACTTCCTACAATTCTTATTGAACTGTAGCCTCTTCCTAGGAAAGCTAGAAACGAATAGCAAAGTGAGTAGCAAAGAATTTCTCTTATGTCCTCACAGCATGTGTAGTGGTCCTAAGCACCTAAAGTTTAAATGGAATACTTCACACTTACCTGTTTCCTTGTGCGTGTTTTCCCTGTTCTCAGCTTAATATAACGGGCAATCAGTTCATTTCGGCCTGTAATATGGAAAGAACGCAAATACAAATTCAGAGATTTTTTAAAAAACAGTTCTATCTATAAAGATTGGCAGTGTGGTGTTTTTAGAAATGTACTGATTAATTCACATGGTAAAGGTCTGAGTTTTAGGAGCTGAACTTTGGGTCACCTTGTATCTATTTAAAATTTTCAGTAAGAAAGTAGAATCAAATGTTTAGCTTAATACTCCTACTACCACAGCATGTAGAAGCTGTAGACATGGATCCAAATCACCATTAGGAACAGAAAAGTAAAAAGAAAGCCACTTACCTTCAATCATTCAGAAAGCCAAGAAGGAATAACCATGAAACAACAGGCCAGTCAGCCACACATCAACACCTGGACATCAACACCCATTTCCAGATACACAAAGGACAAGAATGAGGTTGAAAGTAGTTCACATGGATTTACAAACGGGAAATCATTGTAATCCAACCTGATAGCTTCTACAACAAGATCACCAGCTTTATGGATGTTTGGAGAGCCATAGAGATTGTGTATTTTACTTTAGTAAGGCATTTGACCCTATCTTCCATAATATCTTTATTGACAAGCTGAGGAAGCATGGGTAAGTTGGGTAAGTAGGTAAGAAGGTGAACTGGAAACTGTACAACCGGGCCCAGAAGATTTTGAACAGTGGCACCAAGTCCCATTAAAGCAAAGTTTCTAGTCATGTACTGGGGCCAATATTGTTCAACATCATCATTAATGACCTGGACAACAGGACAGAATGCACTCTCAGAAAGTTCAGATGATACAAAACTTGTGAGATTGGTTGATAAAACAAAAGGCTGAGTTGACATTCAGACAACTACTGATGGACTGAAAATATGGGTCAACAGGAATATCTTGAAGTTCAACAAAGGGAAATGTAAATTTCTACACCTAGGGAAAAAGTAATCCCTGCATCATAAAATCGTAGAATCACCAAGGTTAGAAAAGCCCTACAAGATCATCCAGTTTAACCATCCACCTATCAGTATATGCTGGGGACAGATGATCTGGAAAGCAAGCTTTTTCTTGAGGAAAAGGACCTGGGTGTCCCAGTTGACAGCAAACTGAATGTGAGGTAGAAATGTGCCCTTACAGCTGAGAAGGCCGACAGCACTGGAGGCTACGAGGAAGACCATCGTCAGCAGGTCAATGCAGGTGATCCACTTATTCCCCCTTTCTTAGCACTGCTTACATGATTTGGAGTATTATGAAAAGCACAAGAAAGACATAGACATAGACATACTAGAGTGAGTTCAGCAAAGGTTCACAAAAAATGGTTGAAGCACTGAAGTATCTTTACACAAGACAGAAAAGAATCAGGGGTAGTTTTATCATTGAATAGAAATGCCTGACTGGGGGGAAAGAAGAAAAGAGACACACTCCCCTTTCAATACTGCCCAGTAACAGGACATAACAATGAGCACGAAATGAAACACATGAAGTTCTCTCTGAACATAAGAAAAAAAACACCTTGCTTTACGGTGAGAGTAATTGGTAACACCAAAGCAGATTACCCAGAGAGACTGTGTAGTGTCCATCCTTGAAGATACTCAAAACCCAACTGGACACTGTCCTGAGAAATTTGCTGTAATAGAGGAAGAATCTCTCAAGAGATATCTTCTAATTTAAATGTTTCCGTCATTCTGTGATTCGAAGTACAAGAAAACGAACAAAAATGGAATTTAGCAGTGTGAAATGATACAGTGAATTAAAACATTTTCAGGTACTGGGTGACATAAAAAAAAAAAAAAAAAAAAAAAAAAAAAAAAAAAAAAAAAAAAAAGAAAGAAAAAGAAAAAGAAAAAGAAAGTTTTTTTTGAAAGATTGTGGGAAGGTAGGGCACTGCCTGGAAGAAATGAAAAAATCCATGTCTGAATACAGACCAAGTAGTCATTGCAGGCTGAAGATAGTTAGAAGATTTTACATCTCAATTTTAAGAGATGACACAGGGAGACTAGGCCTTTCAGAGCCAAGAGAACAAGTAGCTTTATTTTCAGTGTGGGAGAATGAGAGGGCAGAGAGAGCAGTGCAGGGAGGCAAAGAAAAGGCAGTCAGTGACAAATGAGGGAAATGGTATTAACAGCAACAAGAAAGAAAAGTGTAATGAAACAAAGTTTTGCAGTAACTTCAAATTGCTTGGAATGAGGGCAAGAAAATGCAGAAGACTGAGATCCAGGATTTAAAAATCTGGAAGAGATGCAGAGAAGGCTGAGCTTCTGACAACTTCAGAAGTAAACAGGTGTACAAAGATTAATCCACAGAACTGGGAGTGGCCATCTAGATAAGAGGCAGACTGTGCAGGTTCCATGTATCAAATCTGATCAGATAACCAGATTTGCTTGTGTTCTTTGAAGCAAGAGTGTGATCAAGGAATAAAGAGCGGAAAGAAAAACAGTAGTTATATATCTGAATCGTAGGTTTGTTCAAGGCAGGAAACATGGCAGAAAGAGCAGGCTCTGCAAAGTGATACATCTCTGGTGGCCACACTAGTGATACAGTACCTCAGTTAAAATTGGAAGTGGGATCCACAAGGCTGTAAGACATCCTATATGGCTACAACTATTTGAGGAATGGAGCAGGGATAAAATGGGAAGCAAACAATCGCTTGCGTGAAGTTTATCGATAACTGTTAAAAAACATTTCATTGCTATGAGAACATGTATGTTAGGACATCACAGACATCAAAAAGGCAAGCAGTGAAAAAAGATGTAATTTTTATTGAGTTTATTATTCCATACACACACACAAAAAGTTTTTATTATAAAACCTTGTTAATTCAACCCTGCAAAAAATGAATGTAAGGAAGAATTCTATGCTAGAAATTTACCATTGAATCTTTAAGGTAAGGGCTGGCTGAGTTACTAATACAATCTGTTTCAGAAAGAGAATAATGTAAATATCTTTGACTACAGTTAGACCACTTTGTGAAACACAACCAAAGCACAGGAAGGGACAGAAAAGCATTTTACATTTACAGATCTTAATCCATGGATGTCCAACCTTTTGGCTTGTGTGGGCTGCACTGAATGAATAGGAAACATCTCGGGCTGCTCTGAAAATAATGTCTCCTATTTATTTTCATGGAAACTACAAGATACAAGGAGCACATTAACTCTCGTTGATAAATTTTCTACGGAATATTATTTCACATTTTCATCACTATTTGCTATGCATTTTCATCAGTGATATGCAAAAACCTCACTTGTCAAAACCTGCACCCGCAGAGGTGATCAACTGTTACTGTCATCACTGCTGAATGTAACACCTGCTGCATCACTGTGTTCACATTCACTGTTTGGTCTCTATCAACAGTGAGCAAGCATCTACAGATGTCAGTGGGTGCCATTTTTCTTGCATGAAAGAACTCAATGACACACCTTTCTGTTAGACACCATTTTGTCAGACTGCTGCTCTGCTGCTATCTGACACACAGCACCAAAATGTAACAGAATATTGTTGGGAAAGCCATATCACTGACATCCACCCTTGGACATCATGGACCAACATAATAAAATAGGAGGCATTAGTTTCTGAGCAGCCCTTGTAAAATATAATATATAGTTATAGTATATAAGTAACAAAATTTATTTTAAAATTTTGATTATTCTTTATTTTTAATTTTTAATATTTTATTAAAACAACAAAAAAGAGAAAGCAACAAAAACAGAAAACCAGTGGGATATTTGACCTTATTTTTGTGAAGGAAATTCATTGATGCTTGGTTCAACTGAAGTGGTTGCAATTCACAGTGAGTTCTCAAGGTGTTCATCAGAGATTTTTTATGGAATTTGACTTTCTGTACTTCATCCTTGACAATAATTTTTCACAAATGTGTGTGTGTACTGCCAAAAAGTGATAATGTGAATAAGGTATGATTGTGAAGTGAGGGATATTTCTGTCTGATAGGAGAGGTCTTAGAAAAGTCTGGTAAAGAGACATGATTGGAATTTTTAGTTGAATATATGATTGCAACTCTATATGCTCCATTTGAAGATCTGCAGCTGATATATTTATGTCAACTGAAAATGGAGTTGTAAATATAAATCTATGATTTTTTTCAGTGATATTGCAACATATTCTAAAATTTCCTTATAAAAAAAAAAGGCTGCAGATTTTTCACTGTTCATGGGACAGTGTTAAGCCACTGTATCAAAATGCATAAAATTGTTTGCCATATCATAAGTCAGCACTGCTTGGTTAGTGCTGAGTGATGGCAGCATGCCTAGTGCTGGGCCAGGACACTTGGCAGAGCAGAGCTGCCTTCATGATGGCATGGAGGTGGGGCAGCTACTGGAATGGGATGGGCAGGGCTGTAGCTTGGACATGCCTGTTTTTGTCTTTTCATAATGGTATTATTTCAGAAGAACTCCTTATTCTGTGTAGGAAAGGATCAGATGTGTATCTGATACAAAAAAGCAGTCCCAGCTCCTCTACGCACAAACTAGGAAGTATTTTTGTGCTGGATGTACAATGACTAACATGTAACCACTGACATTTTTAGTTCCCAGCTTCAGCAAAGCATGGTGACTCACCTAAGACTTTAACAGGAGCAGATGCTGTTGTTGCTACATTCCTTCTGACTGTTTTCCCAACTAATGCAAACATTTTTACAAAGCTCATACTGAACACTAGTGACAAAAACTTTCTCTAGTGCAAAGATTATTTAATTAGCATTTGATATGAATCCACCATGCAAAGTAAGAAACAAGGGAAGTGATGAGAAAAGGCACTTATTCCACAGACGTTGGCTTACCCAGAATTTCAGGACAATTTGATACACTTCAGATGTGGAAAATGGGTGGAAAACAGGTTTTGAATATCTTGTATTATCCCCAAAGAAACAAGCAGGGAAATGTATACTTATCAAACGGACCCTTTGTAGGCCAATGGGAAATGAATGAATGGAAGAGATAGGAATAACTAGCATTGAAAGGAGTGGATGTGAAAAATTTTAGGCAGACAAATTTTAAAGGATACAAATTGGGCT